ATCCCATGGACAGCCAAAAGGACTAACAAATGGGTCCTAGAACAGATCAAGCAAGAGATATCCCTAGAAGCCAAGATAACAAGACTTAGGGGGGATGCAGATGGGCGGCCATGGGCCGCCCTGGGAAGCGGAGGATTGGGGCTGAGGCTGCCCCACACCTCGGCCTCAATCCTCCCTTCTGTTGGCCCTGAAAAGAGCACTAAAATTCCAGAGCCGGCAGAAGGGACGCATCAAGAACCGCCATGTGACTCTTCTCTGCCTCTTCCAGCGCAGCGCGTGAAGACACTGTGCCAGGAGGACGTCCTGATGCCATGCGCCATGTGTAATGTCATGTGGCATCAGGACATCTTCAGCGAAGGATTAGAGTGGCTGGTGTGCGGCTGCCCCTCTCCTTCCCTACCTCCAACACGCCACAAAGGGCCCATCTGTAGTGGCCCTTAGACTGTCATGAAGGCATGAATTGTTGAAAAAACAATAATGTTAGGAAAGGTGGAGGGAAGTAGAAAGAGAGGTTGTCTACCCCACATGCTAGATCAGGGGTAGGCAACCTAAGGCCCGGGGGGCTGGATGCGGCTCCCTGAGGCCTTTGGACCGGCCCTAGGCCGGTCCTGCCGCCACTGCCGCCGCCACCGCCTCCTGCCGCCGCCGCTGCCCGCCATGATGATATTGATTATTGTTATTATTACTTGTTCTTGGGGTTTTCTTGGCAAAATTGCCACAGGCTTTTCTGGGGCTGAGAGAGTGTGCATGCATATTTTTAATTTTTTAATTATTTTTTATTATTTTAATTTTTATTTATTTATGTATTTATTTATTTTTGGTGCTTCAGGCCCCCAATTGTCTGAGGGACACCAACCCGGCCCCCGGCTCAAAAAGGTTGCCTACCCCTGTGCTACATTAAAGACTTTATTAAAGAGACCAAGGATATGAGTTTGCAGGAGCTGAGCAGAGCAGTAGAGGACATGTCTCATCCATAGGGTCACCATGGGTCGAGACCAACACGAAGACAGTTAACAACAACAACAAAAGGGTCTGAATATGTGATTGGTAGCAAAGAGGCAAGGAGACTGAATTATAGAATCATAGAGATCATTCAGACTTACCGTTTTTGAATGAAGAGATTAGCATCTCCACACCAATTCAAAACCAATTCAGAATTGGTTCAGTGTTCCCACTATGTTTACTGCAATTAAATCTCCCCATGCCATTTCAACCCTATTGCTGTTCACATTTGTCACAATATCGATTTAAAATGGAGGCGCCTCTGTTTCTGGGAATGATGCAACGCAATCCAAATCAATTCGGTAGTGTGGTTACATTACCAAAGATGCGGGTCGTTGTGGCTCTTAAAAAAAGAACCGTTAAGAGGTCTAGTGCCAAATGCACCTGTTTAAGTGGGCTTTTTGGTCACCGCCCCCTGCAAACTGCACCGAGTGCACTTGGGGCAAGTGTGAACTTCATGGAAATAAACCTGTTCCACACTGGTTTATTTCTGTAGTGTGAATGGGGACTTAGAGTTGGAAAGAACTACAAGGACCATCTGGTTGAGCCCTTGCAGGAATATACAACTAAAGCACTCCTGAAAGATATCCATCTGATCTCTGTTTAAACACCTCCAAAGATATACAGTGTACCACCTTCTGAGGCAATCCATTCCAGTGCTGTTCTGCTCTTACAGTAAAAAAGTTTTCCCTAAAATTTAGGTGAAATATCTTTTCTTCTACTTTGAATCTGTTGGTTTGTATTCTAGTCTCTGGAGCAGCAGAAAACAAACTGGTTCCATGTTCTACATAACATCTCTTCAGATATTTAAAGATGATGGCGATATTACTCCATGATCTTTTCTTCTCCAAGCTAATCATACCTAGCTTCCTAAGTTATTCCTCATGAAGCTTGGCTTTGAGACCGTTCATTGTCTACACTGAGAATTAATGCAGTTTGGCACTGCTTTAACTTCTATGGCTCATTGTTATGGAATTCTGGGACTTTTAGTTTTCTAAGACCTTTAGCTTTCTCTGTCATACTACAAACCACAAACCCCAAGATTCCATATGAATTCCATACAGACTACAAACTACAAATCCCAGGATTCCATAAGCTAGAGCCATGACATTTAAAGCAGTGTCAAACTGTATTTATTTTGCAGTGTGGCGGCAGCCTTAGTCGCCCTTTTCTGGACATGTTCTAGCTTGTCAATATCTTTTTTGGACTGTGGTACCAAGCACTGGATTGGGAAATGTGTAGGTGTTTTGGAGCTAGCAATCGTCACCCACAATGACAATAAACCACTAACAGAAAATAATTGATGGAGGATGTGGATCACTAATAAAGGTACATGGTAGGTATCAGTATAAAGCAAAAGCAAGGGGAACATTTGAAGAAGTTTGTCTAGAGCAGGGGTAGGCAACCTAAGGCCCGGGGGCCGGATGCGGCCCAGCAAGGCCTTTGGACTGGCCCCAAACCGGTCCTGCCGCCGCCACCCCCCCACCGCCACCGCCCCCCCATGATGATATTGATTATTGTTGTTATTACTTGTTCTTGGGGTTTTCTTGGCAAAATCTTCACAGGGGTTTTGCCATGGCTTTTCTGGGGCTGAGAGAGTGTGCATGCATTTTTTTTAAATTTTTTAATTCTTTTTTAATTTTAATTTTAATTTTAATTTATTTATTTATTTATTTTTGGTGCTTCGGCCCGTCAATTGTCTGAGGGACAGCAACCCGGCCCCCGGCTCAAAAAGGTTGCCTACCCCTGGTCTAGAGAGTAACGGTGGGGTGAAATATTATGGTACATAACAAGAGTACAAAATACACTTTGGAACATTGTGGAAACAGACATTTTAAAGCAAATCATCTATATTCCCTTGCTGAACTCTGAAAAAATGCAACAACTGCAAATTGATTAATATCTGATTTCTTTCAAAAACATGTAGTTATCAAATATGTGGTGTTTTGTCCTGGCAATTTTGTTTTTGTTTTGTAAACTGCTAGGAGCATTTGTTAGGAGAAGGGGATAAACATCTAAATAAATGACCTTATCCAGTGCTTACAAGATCTCTCTCTCTTATTATTATTATTATTATTATTATTATTATTATTATTATTATTATTTAAGTCCATGAAAGAAATCATGCTGCCAACTTCTTCCTTTCAGTGAGTCTCAAAGGTGCTACAAGATTTGCCTACATATTATTATTATTATTAATATGTATTTGAGAAACACCATTTGTTGGCGTATGTGCCCAAACAATTTTTGCTGTTTGCAAATATCATGAAAGAATAGCGTGTCATCCAGGCTATGGCATTATACATTAAAAAACAAAAATGCAAATTGATCAGTATCTGGGAAATTCTGCTCTCTCTTCCAAAAATATGTAGTTATAAAATAACGAAGAAAAAAAGAAAAGAAAAGAATTCTGACATTTCCTCCTTCAGCTGTCTTTTCATTCACGACATCAATTCATATTTTAAAAACACACCACCCCAACCCATTCCTTCTATGAAAGGCCTGCTGATTGAAGATCAAAGGTGTTAACACTTGGTGACCTGGCTCAGTGCCAGGCGGATAATTGCCCTCTGCCACTCTCAATCCCACGGTAGGTTCATTATTTAGATGAATTGTTCGTCATGTTGCATCCCAAATGATTAGAATTGCCTTCCTGTCTAAAACCTTTTACTGCCTCAGATATGTTCTTGCTGACACCTGCTTTTCACAAGGTCTAAATCCGCTGGTGAGTCTTAGCTAGAGCAGACCCACTGAATCTGTAGGATTTAGATTAGTGTTCATTGTGGATATTTGGATGTGATGTGTAGTATAGCAGAGCTCGGAAACCAGCTTCCTTTGTCAGCCTTCTCCATGCAACAAGCATGCAGACACATCTTGGAGATCTAAAGCAGAGCTTTATTGTTTTAAAGTAAAAAAGAAAAGAAAACATATAATCCATCCTGTAGATGGCAAAAACACTATAGGATCACATCTTGCTGATGTTGTAGAACCACAGCAATAGAAAAAGTTACACATCCATGTTTATAGGTCCAGGAGTTAAAGTTATAGTTATAGTGTAAGTTCTAGTGTAAAAGTTACAGCTAGTGTAAGCTACACACAAACACATTGCTTGCATATATAAACAACAGAGAACAAAGGAAACTCTTGGCCCTTCCCATACTCCACCTTCTGGGTGTTAACCTTATGTGGACTGGATGATGTCTGGATGATGTGCTTTAACCCAGCCTCTAACTGTACGTCATCCCCCATGTGACTTCCTTCTCATGAGCTCATATGTTTATGTGTTACCTATCTATTCCCAGGCTCAAACTTGTTTATGTTATTCTGCCCTGTGAGCACATGCTTTGACTTCTAAACCACCTGCTGTCGCGTTCTCTTTGTTTTCAGTAGACACTGTTCCCATAGGAAATTTCCACACACACATCTCTATATTTCTACTTTGACTGTATAACCCATCCATATTCCAACATTAATATATCATACAGCAGGGGTAGGCAACCTTTTTGAGCCGGGGGCCGATCCCCCAAAGTTGTCCCTTCCGGCGGGCCCTGGGGGGGGAATGGCGGAGCATGCGCTCACGCATGCACGCGACCCTCGCTGCCGCTGCCGCACATGTCGCGGCCGCCATTTTGTTCTCCAAAATGGTGGCCGCGACATGTTTGCGCATGCGCAGTACTCCTGCGCATGCGAAAACGCGTCACGGCCACCATTTTGAAAAACAAAGTGGAGGTCGCGGCACGCGCGGATGCGTCGTGACCAAAATGCGCGGCGGCGGCGGCAAGAGTCCACCTGGGCTGGTAAGCGCAGGGCCCCGGGCTGGAACCGGCCCAGGGGCCGTAGGTTGCCGGCCCCTGTCATACAGCATGTAATTCAGTGGTAATAATAATAATAATAATAATAATAATAATGTCATCATACCGTAGTTTTATTTCATGCCCATCTCTCCGCAAGGCTCGAGGTGAGGTACAACAAAGGTTAAAATGCCACATATAACCAGGGGCCAGTGTGGCATAGTGGTTTGCGTTTCGGACTATGATTCTGGAGACCATGGCTCGATTGCCAGCTTGGTCATAGAAACCCACTGAGTGCCCTTGGGCAAGTTAGCCTATGGGAAAAGCAATGGCAAACCTCTGAACAAATGTTGCCAAGAAAACCCCATGATAGGTTCTCCTTAGGGTTGCCATAAGTCAGAAGTGACTTGCTCACATGCGCGCACACACACACACCCTAACCATGAAGCACATAAAACATATAAATACAGGATTAAAATGACCATTACACATTACAAGCCTCCAGATTAAAATATATGGATTTAAAATTCATAGTTTAAAATAGACTGGGTATATCTGCTAAAAGAGCTGGGTCTTTAATACTGTTTTAAATTCAAGCAGCATGTTTAGCTGTTGAATCTTTCTTGGCAGGTCATTCCATAGTGTAGGGGCAGCCGCTGAAAATGTCCTCTGGGTGACAGTTGCCAATCTAGGGGAGCATTCACACTTACTTTTTTGTCCCGAGGAGATCTGGATCTCCGTGGTGATGCAATACTTGATCAATATTCCCACTATGTTTTCCGTTCCTGAATCTCCCCATTGCATTTTAACCCTCAATACACTTGCCATTGGAGTGATTTAAAATGGAGACACCTCTATTTCTGGGACTGATGCAGCATGATCTGAATTGATTCGGTAGTGAACTCACACTACCAAAGATGCAGATCATTGCAGCTCTTTAAAAAAGGTGCAGGGAAAAAAGACCCAGTATCAAATATACTGGGTTAAGTGGGGTTACGTGGGTTTTCTGGTAGCTCTCTCCCCCCAAACTGCACCGAGTGCAGTCAGGGTTAGTGTGAATACCACAAAAATAACCCAGTTTCACACAGGGTTATTTTTGTAGTGTGGTCTGTCCAGTTGAAGTAAATGTTTCTCAGAGGATCTGAGTATGAGACAGATCATGCAGATTATCCAACTAGCACTTGGATGTAAGCCAAACTCTTCTTAGACCCAATTCACACATTCAGGGTAAAAAGCCACTCAATCTTTGTGGGGTTGATCCACTTTTAGAGGGCAGGTGGGAAGTTTCTCTGTATCAAAAACTCCACATGGAAAGTTCACGAGTTGGGGAGAGGGCTAGAATCAAAGCATTTTGCTTGCAACATGTTAACTTTAAAGTTACAGGGAGTAATGAAGGTGCAAATGCATACTCCTCAAATAAAACCTTACATTAAATCTCTAAATGAATCAGTAAATATAGTTTAAACGAGGTCCCAGACCCTCCGATTTCATAGATGAAAACCAGGACACATGTAGCCAAGCAACCTCAGAGTGTGGTCAAGATGGCAAAAGTTATTAATGTGGAAGGACACAACCTGAGAGATGCTACAGCAGTTTGCTTTTGCCTGAGATCACAGGGAAGGACAACATTCTGTCCCTTCATGTCCCCCCCATCCACACTAAGTTAATTGATTGCAAATTATTTTTGCACTTTGTCCTCAGTTTGCAGTAATTCAGCTAAGCTGGGGACAAAGGGGGAACATGGGAGGAAGAGAAGACAGAAACTGGGACATTTTAAAAGCAGCTGAAAAGTGGGTGACATATTAAAATCCCTGCCAAATCGGGACATTTGGAGAGGATGATGATGATGATGATGATGATGATGATGATGGATGATGATGATGAAGTATTTATACCCCGATCTTCTGAGGTCCAAACCCTCTTCTTCCTTGGATACACACTTCTATGAACAGAGCTTTCTCCAAATAAATGGCTATTGATATACTGGCAATAGGATAGCATAATGCACATGGCAGATGGTAGGAAAATATGGTGGCAAAGGGAATTGCTCACTTGCATTTGGCAAATGTACACATTAACAGCAATGGTAATAAACAGGAGGGCTTTGGGTTTATAGGCAAATGTGTGAAGGACTGGCTTTTGTTCTGCAATCTTTTTGTAGTGTTAGTAGTAAGCCTTATTACAGTGTTTTATTAACAGGACAACTGTTTTGCATGAACTGGTACTTAGTTGCAGAGCTAAGCTAGAGGAAGGCTAATCTAAATTTATTTTTATTTCATATTTTAATATCTAATATTTTATAAATCTTTTAGAAACACATTGACAAGAGATTTTATAATAAAGCAGCATATCAGTTCAAATAATTTAATAATTTAATAATTTTTGCTGAAGGCAAGTGCTGCTAGCCCAATATTTATTGTGCCCTGCTTTCTTTCCATTTTCTAATTTGCTTCCATCCATTTATTTCAATGTCCTTCCTGTAACCTTGTCTTTCTTGTACATGGCAGTGAAACATGCCTTAAGTTTCAGGATATGAGGTTAGCTGTTTTCTATCCCAGCATTTTTAATGGCAGAAGAATATTCCACACTGTACCAGCATTTATACACAAATTTTACATAATCTGGCTTGAAAAATTGCATTCTGGCAATTGTAAACCCTGTACATATGTGTCTGTGTAAAAGTGTCTTGGGGTACATCTGCACTGTAGCAATACTGCGATTTCACACCACTTTAATTGCAGAATCCTGGGATTTGTAGTTTGGCACTTGGTAGAGAAGACTAAAGACCTTGTAAAACAACAAATCTCCAGATTCCATAGGATGGAGCTACAGCACTGAAAGTGGTGTCAAATTGCATTATTTCTACAGTGTAAATGCACCTTTCATTTGTTTACATAGGGTTGCTAGACTGAAAAGTGAAGGGGGCTTCTGTACCTTTAAATGGTATGATAGAAGAGGGCATTTCAGCATGTGTTGCTTGTTATGCAACCAGGTAACAAGCAACACCTGTTGAAATTCCCTCTTCTACAGAACCATTAAAATTACGGGAGCTCTCCAGTTTTCAGTTTGGCAACTCTAGATTGGAATAGGTACACTAGGAAATGCTAGAAAACAAGGGACGAATTAAAGAACTTAGCCAATGCATTGGGAACCAGATGAGTCCTGGCGACGTTTGATGAGAATCAGTGTGGTGTAGTGGTTTGAGCATTGGATTTTGGTTCAGTTCCTTGCTTGGAAACCTGCTGGGTAAAATTGATTGAGCCACTCACAGCCCCAGAAAACCCTGTGATAGATTTTCCGGTAAAGGTAAAGGTAAAGGTAGTCCCTTGACGTGAATGTCCAGCTGTAACCGACTGTAGGGGGCAGTGCTCATCTCTGTTATGAAGCCAAAGAGCCAGCATTGTCTCAAGACAAATCTGGTGGTCATGTGGCCAGCATGACTGCACTAAACACTGTTATCTACCCACTAAAGTGGTACCTATTCTATTTGCATTTACATGCTTTTGAACTGTTAGGTTGGCAAAAGCTGGGACTAGTGAGAGGAGCTTACCCCATCATGCGGCACTTGGACCTTGAACTGCCAGCCTTTCAAACTTCTGATCGTCAGAATGGGCATCTTAACCATAATCCACCTCATTCCTAGGTTTGCCTTTAGGGTAATCAAAAATCAGAAGTGACTTGAAGGCATACAAGAGCAATAATTACTGTACATATTTGACTATAGGTCAACCTCATGTATAAGTTGAGGGTAGGTTTTGGGGCCAAAATTATGGATTTTTATGTGACCCATGGATAAGTTGAGGGTAAAACTTAGGGGCATGTAACAAATGATCTAAAAGATGAAGCAAGAAAAGCGATGCCAAAGAACTTACAAAATGCCAGCAGGTATAACTATTTGTGCTCATGCTAAAGAATGGATGGATGGGAGAGCAGAGGAGTGGGTCAATGCTTCCATGACAGATTACACTCTTATCTTTCACCAGGGGATGTTTCCTTTTTAAATAGAGTTAAAGTACAGTACTTACTCAAGAACTCAAGTACTCAAAAAGTAGGCTTGGACAGAGAAGAAGGAGGAGAGAAAATAGGATGAAGGAATATCAACAATCTAAGATATGTAGATGACACCATAGTACTAACAGAAAACCTCACAGACCTGGAACAACTACTAAGGGAGATCAAAGAAGAAAGTGTAAAGGCAGGATTAATGTTGAACATAAGGAAAATAAAAATAATAACAGAGAATTTACACACATTCAAACTAGACAATGAGGAAACAGAAATAGTAAAAGAAGTCTCATATCTGGGATCAAATATTGATTGGAACGGGGAATGCAGCCAGGAAATCAGAAGAAGATTAAGAATGGGGAGGGTGGCAATGAAAGAACTAGAAAAGATCCTAAAACGTAAAGACATACAACTCAGCACAAAAAAACAGAATCATACAAGGCATTGTACTCCCTATTACCATGGATGGATGTGAGAGCTGGACAGTCAAGAAAGAAGATAGGAAGAAAATAAATTCATCTGAGATAATGTGATGCTGGAGAAGAGTGCTGAGGATCCCATAGACAGCCAAAAGGAAAAACACATGGGTCCTAGATCAAGCTGGAAACCTCCCTGGAAGCCAAAATGACCAAACTGAGACTGTCATACTTCGGACACATCATGAGAAGGGAGGACTCATTGGAAAAAACAATAATGCTGGGGAAGGTAGGAGGAGAAGGAAGGAGGAAGAGAGGAAGGCCACATGCCAGATGGGTGGACTCTGTTAAGGAGGTCATGGGTATTAAGGGGTTGCAGGAATTAAGCAGAGAAGGGGAGGACAGAGGGTCTTAGAGATGTCTCATCCATAGGGTTGCCATTAGTCAATAAAACAACAACAACAACAAAAAAAAAAACAAAAAAAAAAACAGTACTTACATTGATCTGTGGATAAGTCGACTCAGTTTTTTTGGGTCAATTTTTTTGACTAAAATTTCTAGACTTATACATGAATATATTCAGGAAGCTTGATAATATGGTGACTACAAGGTCATCCCAACAGTTCAAGGTGGGAATTCTGTTTTGTGAGATACGTGTATGTAGGTGCAGCTACCCATATGTATGTCTTTTTTGTTCCTATATGTCTCAGAATTACAAAGAAATCCACCTGAGAGCTTGAAGAAAATGTTCTAAAGCAGGGGCAGGCAACCTTTTTGAGACCTGGGCTGGTCTCCCGTAGCCCAGGTCTCGGCTGGGCCGAGGGGGGGGGGGAATGGCGGCGCGAGCGTTTGCGTGCGC